AATTAAATTATAATAAAAAAATTGAATTAAAGAAATTACAAAAAAAATCAAATAGTTAATTCGATACTAATATTGATACATTTATTTTCGAAATTTTATGATATTTTCAAATTTATAATTTATTCAAAAATAAAAATATCATCTATTTTCTCAAAACTACATAAAAACGTATAACGTATTATAACATCTACAGAGACGAAATAAAAAAAACGCTGCATTGCACGAATATCCTTCTAATTTAATTAAAAAACACCCCTAGATAGATTTTCTGGCTCTGTTTCTACATGCCATACACAACTATATCATTAAGGGGTGTTTGGGATTGCTTATTTAAAACAACGTATGTTTTTCTACAAAAGTACTTATCAACTTATTATAAGTTAGAATAATTTAACTTTTTCAAAAACTTCTTATTACCGCTTTGACACCGGTATAAGTTGTTTATCCAAACACTCAAAAGTGTTTCTTACCGGTATCACATCGGAATAAGTCAATAAGTTGTTTTTATAAGCAATCCCAAACACCCTCTTAAAATATTATAATTCTATTACAAGATACATGAACCAACACAACAAATATCATATCACATTTTGTCATACATGCTTAGCGGTACATCCTGCGTACTTTACGTTATAATTGTTGTTTTCATATTTGATTTGTCATGAAAATGTGTTTTTTGTAAACTTTGGCATTTTTCAAGATAATGGTGTGATCTGATCTTGATTCTGAAGTAAAGAATTGGATGTTCAACAGTTATTCTAGATTTGAACGTGTTTATAAGTTGATTGTCAGATAATTTAGCACGAAATTGAATTGATAGCATTAAAAAGTTGTATATATACAACCAAATGGTCTTTGACCTAACGGTATGTGAGTCATTGACCTCCTAAAAAGTTGAGGATCAAACTTCACCAAACATGAAAAGAGTGTGTGAGTTTATTTATTCTATTTGCCATATACACATATGCAAAATATATTCATGATCGAAATTTTGAACTGTTGATTAGAAATACTGAATTTTTTTCATGTTAATTTGGGCATCAAATTAAGTAGAATAAACTATTTTTTAAATATATTTTCATCTCTTTGATTTATCATCTTTTTTTCATTTCTCTGACTAAATCTGTTAAAAAATCATTTAAATCAGGGGCAAATTAGTCTTTTTAAACCATTTTTACCATTTCCCCTATTTTTTTTTATCAAATAATATATTGTAGAGTAAATTACCTTTTTTGTACTAACCTAGACATTCAACCGTTATGTGAGCCGACTAATCATAGGACAACCAACTGTTTTGCAGGTAATCCGGAGTCAACGCATTATATGGTCGCCTCTTATTCTCTTAGGGACTTTCTTTCCGCTAGGTGTGTTGCTGCTACTATTGGAAGCCAGAAACTGAATTGGTTAAGTCAAAACTTTAGCATTTATAACGAAGCCACTCCAACGATGAATTTGAACTCTTAACAAATAGGCCATGATCTAATAGTCGGAACACATTTGTTTCCCTGATACAGTGCTCACATAACGGGAGATGGCGACTAGGGTTTCAAAGTAGGAGATAAATGAAATCGTAACCCTAATTCACTAAAGAGGCTTTTTGAAGTGAGGCAAAAGTTTCATCTACCACCATCAAATAGGGTATAGAGAGCCCAGAACCCTAATCCCGATTAGGGTTTCCCCTCATCAAAATTTTCATCTACTACCATCAAATGGCCTGCAATCATCAGTTTTCATCGACAAATCTTATCTCTAATCAATCAAGTCTCACTGCCTGATGATTATTCTGTAACTCAACGGCTTATTCGTTCAGCTTAATGGCCTCAACGGCTTATTTGTTCAGCCATACATGAGTGTTTCTTTACAGCTTAAATCGTTAATCCATTACACCAAAATGGCTATATGGAATAAGCCATGACCCCCCTTTTCCCATTAAACCATCTCCAAAATGCTCTCTCAAATATGAAAAACCAAAATACAAACCTGAAGATGTTTAAGAAACCTTTAAAAACTAGATTTGAATCTGAGATTTTTTTGTTTAAAAAACCTCAAGACATTCAAAGAGTAAACCTGCAGAAACCACAAAAAACTAAAGAGTATAAACCAAAATACAAACCTGAAGATGTCGATTTCGTCTCGAATTGGTTTTCTGCTCGCTGAAAACACAGAATCATGAACCAGAAAGCAAATTATCCCCCAAAAACTCGTTTTTTCCGCAAAAATATGATCAAGAGTTTTATACAAAATAAAAAACAAAAGAAGATGCACAAGAATTGTATGACCATATCCAAAAGCTGCAGATGATAATCTGAAAACCACAAGTTTAAAATTGCATGTCATTATTAAAATGCTAGAAAGATACATCAATCTATTTCCTCCTCTAATTCTTCCATGTATATAAGAAGGGTTTCACTGTATGTTCAACATAGTACACCACCTCCGATTCTTCCCCCTGTCCAAATTCACATTAAATATACCTTTAGATACACGATTGTAACCATACACAATTAAGTCAGGGTGCATTTGGTACGAGGGTCAGTATAGAACAGGTCTGAACAATTAGACTCAGTGACACAAAAATGAACTTTTTTCTGCCCCACCAAAATGGGTGGAACAAAAATCCGTGAGATGGGACAAGTTTGGTAAATTACTAACTACCTGTGTCAATGGGTAGAACAAAAGTCCGTGAGATGGGACAAGCTTGGTAAATTACTAAACTACCTGTGTCGATCCAGTTTTGTAAGCGTTACATAACTAGAGAATGTTTAAGGAACATTCTACAAAATTCAAGTTGATTTGGAAATAACAAACCAACCAGAATCTAAACACCTGAAGGAAATATTTAGATATTAAAAACTATTTAGGGCAAAAAAAGAACTATTGTTACTGAAAATAAGTTAGACTGAATTTAAGGTTTGAGGAAATAAAACTATCTAAACCATAAACTAAATATGCACAAACAGGAAGTATAGATATGGTTGACAAGCATTTAAATGAAAATTGGACACTCTGTGTTTATGGTTACCATTATCCTAACACCGTTTAGGGTTTTAGCAAATTGTCACATGTGAACACACAACATCAACTCCAAAGTGAGTCATGGTGCAAGATTCATGGCAGGCCGCATGCTATTTTCCAGACAGAAAGTAAAATAAATAGAAGTGAATCTAATTCAATTGAATAGATATCTTAACAATTTATGACAAGGCAATTTATGGCGGTAGCAATCGCCAGCATCATGACAAAAAGGCACATACAATGTTGTCAATATGGTGACAAGTCATTTATTAAGTGTGATTTACATGTATATGCATCATTATCTGGTAATTCAACTGTGGAGCTATAGCGGTGGTTTAGCGGTGCTACAGTGGTTCTCGGTGGTCAAGAATATACAGTGGTCAAATAGACAAATAGCAGTCATTAGGGCCACTATTTACCGCTATCTACTGCTATTTTTTACTGCTAGTACAATTAGTTCTTTCATGACCTTTACAAACTCTATTACTATATTGCTTGTGAGGGCCTTGATTTGTTTTACTTTACTAGATATGTATTAGACATATTTACATATACAGTATATTATGTTCTTTGCTTCTTTATATATAGAGAGAGATTGGTATTTATTATACTAGTTTTTTTACTGCTATACCACCATTTTACCAAATACGATGAACCGCTATACTGAATCATGGTCCGGTCGTGATTTCAGAATATGACCGCGTTAACTACTTAATTCATTATATTGACAAACTACACATTGCTAACTGACGTAAAGCGTTTGCTTCATAAAACAGTAAGAATCAATTTCAAAACTAGTTTAGATCAGAATATCATGTCAAAATCAAAATTTAAGTCACAAATAAATTAATTTTCAAAATAAAAGTAATATTATTACATATTGTATATTGTGCATAAAATATTGTACATTGCTGACTGTTGTACTATTTTGAATTGGGCCAAAAAGTAATAAAGAAAGAATGATCAAACTGAATGTAATGAATAGCACAAAGTTTTAGATAAAGTCAATACATGTGAGCAGCGAACATACAAGGGCAGTAACTAGAATCAAAATACATGTGACAATTAAATAACAACCAAATACACGGAGTTCACTGCTGCTGTAAACAGTGCTAATAGAGAAATTAATAAATTAATTAAACAACTAAAGAAAACTAAATAATAATGAACAAATAGATGTTACTTAGAGCTGTCTTTCGCAGTCTTCTACAAGTGTACTAAAAGAATCTATCCTTTTACAAGTTATCAAGCAACCTTTAAAATCCTTAAGCTAAATTTTTTATTAAATGATTCTCAACAAACTACCATCCATTCATCACCACAAATTATAGCACAGAAAACAAACCCAATTTCTATTTGAAGAGACATCAAGTACAGCAATGATTAAAAAAGAAACCACATGTCAGAAAACCATCATCCATCACAATCACATGGGTTAGGCAAAAACAGACTCGTAGCATGTTGTCTGGATCTAGATTCATATAGATTGAGAACACTGTTTGCCACTTTTAAATGCAGTCAAAATTGATAGAAATGTGTAGATTTTATTTCTTATTTGTTTGCTATGTTCACCAAACACTAAACCAAACCAAACCAAACCAAACCACACCACAGTTACCCAATATATCCCACTAGAAAATAGAATCTGAGGGGTAGGATGTATTTAAAGGCGTAGTCAAAAAATACAAGAAAAATATTGCACAAGCAGGCAACAAGAACAGTAAACAATAAACAGTAAAACGAGGTACTAAAACTAGATCCCCTTAACCATCCCCTCATCAACATTGCTTCTTTTTATATTTCACAATGTTTTACCAATAATCAAACGACCTAACTCAAGATGTTTTAACGTTATCAACCATAGAAATAGGAATTTTAGGGGAACATTTAATAATGCACAAATAACTCAAAATTTTCTTTTTTTATAGCTTCAAGATCCTTTAAAATGAGGATGTAGGCATTTACAGTTTGGAGATTATTTGGCACTAAAGACTTCTTGTAAACTTGTTCTATTTCGGGGAGGTATCTATCTCACTCCCATAATAGTAACCTCCCTAAATACAGACCAAATACTCTTGTTGTATACACATTATTCTAGTTGATTATCTCTTTCCAAGGTTTTGTCTTCATTGCCGAAGCAAAAGGTAGATGGGTCTTTTGCTTCACTTGCATTGGGCTTGCTAAGAGCAACTCAACCAGAGAATGGAAGCCGATACAAGATATAATTTCTGATTTTTAATAGTGGACGTCTATGATAATATTCTATATATTTCATATTGTTAGAGCATTGTATTTTCACCTACATGGAAACAGGTTCTCCTTAGCATTTTAATATGTAATAAAATTCCCAAAGTTTCAAAGTCGATGAATGAATATTCACAAGTTGTGTATTTTAGCATTGAATTATTTGCCCTAATTTATTGCCTATCCCAGATCATGATTCATTCCCATTGGTTGACAACATGGATCCTTAGGTACTACATTGATCCAAAAATTTATTCAGATAGATTATTCATTCCCACTTGGTTGACAGTAAGGATCCCTAGGTACTACATATATCCAAAAATATATCGATATTTAATATAACACTAAAAGTCCTAATATACTTTGTACTTCCCAAGATATCGACTTTCATTTTCTTCCAGCATCACTAGTAGAAAAAAATACCATTCGCAATTGACCAAGTTCTAAGTGATCTTGCAGAAGTTTCACAAACTAAAGCTTCAAATAGGCTTTTAAATATGAAACATTTATCTAAGCACCTTCTAATTCTAGGAAACAAGTCAAGTGAGGGATCAAAGAGGCAACTCCAATGATAATTTCATTCTTGCACAACCATGACATCAGATAGACACATACGACAGATAAAATAATAAGCAAACATCGAATATAAAACCAAGCACATTCTCACAGACCTGTCTTTAGTCAAGATCTTCTTGTCTAGCCTGACCACCACTCCCCTGGTTGGCATCTCCTGAATTGTTGTTCCCTGCTCCACTGTTGCTCGTCTCAGCAGGTGTACTGTAAGCAAAAGGCCAAGGCAGGTTTATCCTAAACCTCCTCTCCGCAGTCCTTGGTGTCAGAGGATTATCCTGAGAACCACCAACAGACGCTGCAGCACCTGAACCACTACCACCGGTAGAAGATTGTCGAGACCTATTCTCATAATCCGGATCATCCGTAGGTAACTCATACCGACAAACGGGACAGGAGTTATGCAGCTCCAACCATGGAATAATACAATCTTGATGGTAAATGTGTTTACATGGCAACTGCTTTGCCTCCTCATCAAGTTCAAAACTGTCTTTACAAACTGCACAATCGGAATAATCTGATTCCAACAACTCATTTGTGATCTTGATATTAGGAAGGTTTTGAACCGCTGATTTTGACGCAGGCGGTGTGCCGTATCGATTAGGATCATTTTCAGCGAGTTGTTGGATTAATTGTTCTAATCCAGGACCAATAAAGTAATCGCCGAGATTTGACGGAAGACGAAACCCCGAAGGATCTCCATCCATGTTGTTTTCAATCACAAACTGAATATTCGCCCCACCTGCTCGTAAGGTATTGAGATAATTTTGAAGAAATGCAAACGGATTAAACTCTCCAGGGTTCTGAACGCCTCCAGGTCGCGACATCGGACCACCGAAAAGAGCCGAGAGATCATTAGGATTCTGGAACTCGCCACTCGCACCACCGCCGGCGCGAGAGTTGGTGGAGAAGACGAACGGAAAACCAGAAGAGAAGGAAGCGAAAGGAGAAGCATCTTCGAAGGCGAGGAAAGGATTTGGGGTCGGGCTAGGGTTAGGGTTTTCGTATTCCTCGAGGAACCCGTCGTTACAATTGGGGCAAACGAGTTCGGAGGAAGCGGTAGCCGAAGGTCTAATAGAAACCGTACGGTTGCATTGGTAACAGAAGTATAGCTGTGGTGCGGCACCATCGCCACCACCACCACCACCGGCGCCGCCGCTGTAGACTCCTTCTGACATCGTGGTGTGTAATAAGCGGCGCGTGTTTGGGCTTTTTGTTAACTTCTCTTTCAGACTTTAAAAACTTTTCAAATAGAGTGAATTACATTTGTGGTCCCTATGGTTTATTCAAATTCCATATTTGGTCCCTAAAATAAACTATACTAATAGTTCCATTAAAAAGCAGTCTCTAATCGTTAAAAGATGAATTTTGTTAGGCAAAATTTTTTTTACCTCTTAATGGTTCTAAAATCCTCTGAATGATTTTGCATCATGGGTCTCCTTTAACCATTCAGCTAATATTTCACTGTAAACAATTATATTTCATTTTGCACTATATTATTAAAGTAATAAAACAATATTTTTTTTCTTTCATATGTAATCATTTTTTTTAAGAATTCTCCAAATTTGGAGAATTTCACCCTCTCTTTCATACCTTATTCATTTTGAATAAGGCTTTAGGGAATCTGTTAAAGCAAGAATTCCAAAATCATCATTTTGGAAAATCTGTTAGAGATGTTCTTAGCTAACAGTCGTTAGGAGTATGGGTGCTCAAAAATCTGATCAACCCAACACGAAATAACTCAACTCGAAGCAACCCGATGTCTAACCGAATTGTAAAATTTTCAAATTGTAAATATTGTGTTACTATTATTTGAACTCAACCCAATCCGATGAACCCGATATTTTTATATTTCTTGGATTTAATATGATTGTTGAGTTTCTATCAATATATACATTAGACGGTTACATTATCACGTACCATCCTCATATACACATATTTCTAATCTATTATCCATCTCTGTATAACTCATTTGTATATATGTTCAGTAACTGTGAACATATATATGTAAATTGAAAAAATTAATTGAATGTGGTATGCGCAAGATTTAAAAAGTATGGATAAGTTATGTTAAATGGTTGATGATGAAAAGTAAATTATGAGGAGAGAAATAACATATTTAAGATTAGAATAATATTTTAAGGTACCAAAGTATCAATCCGACCAACCTGACCAACCCGTACGATTTGGATTGGGTTGAGTTACACTTTGGTTTGTGTCGGGTTGGGTTAAGATTTCTCAAACTCGAAAACACTAGATTGAGTTGTTCAAATGTCTTCAACATGATCAACTCAACACATGAAACACCCCTAATTACGAGAGACAAATTAGTCTTTGAACAAACTGTAACAACCTAAAATATAATTCACTCTAAAATTAACTGTGATTCACATAATTTTTTTTCTACTAAATTATTTTATTATAAATATTTCAAGCACCGATTAAGGGGGTGTTTGGGATTGCTTATCGGAACTGCTTTTTAACTTATTTCAGTCTGGCACCGGAGATAAGTTATTTTAGAATGTTTGGGTAAAAAAAAAACTGCTTATACCGGTGCCAAACCGGTAATAAGCAGTTTTTGATAAATTAATCCTTACTGACTTATGAAAAACAACTTATCACCGATTTATCATTTTAACCCTCTTTTAATTTATCCAAACATCATATACGTCTCATCATCATCATCCCTTCCTCTCATCATCAATATCCCTTGCCCTTCATCGTCCTCCATCGATTCCTCCAAACAAATCGATACCCTAATCCTGCTACAAACAGATTGATAACCTCACGATTCCTCCAAACATATCAATATCCTAACCCTGCTACAAACAGATCGATACCCTAACGATTCCTCCAAACA